AGGAAGGAAGGAAGGAAGGAAGGAAGGAAGGAAGGAAGGAAGGAAGGAAGGAAGGAAGGAATTGTATCCATCTACAACTGAAAAAAAGAAAGAAAGAAAGGAAGAGAGAAAGGAAGAAAGAAAGAAAAAGGATTCCTATATTAGGAAATTGAGGGCTCTGGATTTTGTCCACCAAGGCTGTGAAGATAGCTGTGGGATTTGATGAGTTTCAGAGGGAGCTGTGTTTTTCTTCCTTCTGATGTTTTCCTCTCACTTTTAAAAGATGATGAACCACTCCCTTCTTTGAGGTAATTTCTCATTTGCCGACCCTTAGTGTGTTAAAATTGAACAGTTTCTTGGTATTATGGTTGCAATAGGTAGTTTGGAATCAACTTTGAAAATATCTTGTATATAAATAATAATAAACTACTTATCATGATCAGAGTTGCCTGATTTCTTGGCGTTTACTGCAAAGGACATTATGTACACTGAATTGGGGTCATTATTATGAGAGCAATTGGTTAGGACTTCTCTTTTTTTCTCAGGAGCTAATGCTTTAAAAAGGTATCCAGGCACAACAGTTTCATCCAGTTTATTTTTATACAATTAAAATTGCTGGTGGCCTGGGTTAGCAAAGAGGAAGACAGCTTTTAACGACTGCTCCCTGCCTTAACAAGAGGTGTCAGAGTAGGACGTGAATGCTTCTAGAATGTTGACATGAACACCATTTCAAGCTCACAGCATAGTTCAGGAACTGTGTTGTTTGGAGTTGCTGTAGAAAAAGAATCTAAACTACAAAGACTTGCTGTTACCAGTTATCAACCCAAGTTAATAAATTAAGTCATCCTGTGTATCATAAAAAAGCCAAAATACAGCGTCTGGTTGAATGGAGGAAAAGGTGCTTTCTTCATTTGCCTTGTTGGCCCACCCTCCCTAAAAATGTCTGTAAACATGATGATGGATTAAGTTTCAACATTAGTTTTTATCATTCAAAAAGGGTATATGGGCTGGGGTTGTGGCTCAGTGGTAGAGCCTAGCATGTGTGAGGCATTGGGTTCGATCCTCAGCACCACGTAAAAATGAAATGAAAATATTGTGTGTCCACCTACAACTAAAAAAATAAATGTATATATTTTTAAAAAGGGTATACTTCTTGGTTTATTGCTTCCTTTTTACTGCTTTTGAGCATAAACATTCTTCAGTTCAAATGGACCTTTTAGTTTTTTCACTGAAAATTATCTGCATGTAAGACATATACACGGGACAACTTCTGTGGTATGTCACCACAGCCAGGACAGACCACAAATACGCGGCTGCATTGCTGGATCTGAATTCTGATGTGTGCTGTTGGTACAAGCACATGCTATGACAATCTACTGGTATGCATAAAAATTCTTTAACTTCCCATAAAAGAGCTTTGGCTTTGTCAATGTAAAGCTTAAACTCAGTAATGTAATGGCCTCTATTATTTATCAGACTGAAGGTAGGCCCTGGGGAGATTGTGAATTTTCATTAAACTTTGTCTTTTCCCATAGTTTGTTGCTGAATTATAATTATATGTAATAGTAGGATTTGTTGTTACATACTTGTACGTGTACAGAACAATATAATTGGGTCAGTATTATTTCCCACTATCTCTCCTTCCCTCCTCTTCTCTCTTTCCCTATTCCCTATACTCTACTGATCTCTCTTCTATTTTCATGAGATCGCCCCCATCTTGTTTTATTTTTCCCCCTAAGATCCTTAGCCTTCTGAATTTGGCTTATTTCACTTGATGTAATGTCCTCAAGTTCCATCCAAATTTCTGCAAAGGACATGATTTCATTCTTCTTTATGACTGAATAAAACTCCATTTTGTATATACACCACATTTTCTTTAGCCATCCATCCACTGATGGACACCTAGGCTGGTTCCATAGTTTGGCTTTTGTGAATTGTGCTACTATAAACGTAGGTATGCACCTATCACTACTGTATGCTGACTCTAATTCTATAGGATAAATATAGAGGAGTGGTATGATTGGGTCATACTACAGTTTCGTAAACTTTGTGTTTTCCATACTTAACTATTATTGGATCTGCTTTTCTTTGAATTTTGAGTCCATGTTAATATGTATGACCAAGACATATAGAGCTGGGTGGGTTGTGGACAAAAAACCCTTAAGACTGTTGCCTGCCTTAGGTGAGGAAGTGCAGATATTTTCAACTCTTCCTGCCAATGGTTATGGTTATAGTGATTAAATGTGGGAGGAGTCAGATATTTCCCTTCAAAGTGCTTTTCCTCCCAGGACAGCAGGATGACAGCCCTTTCCTCTGGTCTGTGCACAAGCATATTGCATAAAGCAAAACACTATTCTCTCATTTTCCCCGTCTCCTTGCAAAAGTTAAAGATCCAAACCAAAAAATTCCTCAAAAAATTAAAAGAGATCCTAACCCTACATTTCTCTGTTGCCTGCTCTTGATCAGCTCCTCATCTGCATCTTCACTTTCCAGGTGTGATAACAATAAGCAGAAACAAGCAGAAGAGGGAAAAAGAAAAGCAGAAGAGGGAAAGAAAAAAAAATGCCCTTAAAATGAAGGCCTGAGCATTGGTCTGGTAGACTCTTCTGGAAAGTATGGACTCTGCAGAGGGGATCACATGCTAGTGTCTGTGCAACAGTCCCTTTCCTTGTCTACAACTTCTGAATCACTACATCTACGGTTCCTCCTATATGGTATCTGGGTGTTACCTTGTGGTGTGACGGTAACTAATAGCCATCTCTTCTGAAAAAAGGAATCCCTGTGGGGCTGGGGTTGTAACTCAGTGGTAGAGTACTTGCCCCTCACATGTGAGGTTTGGGTTTGATCCTCAGCACCACATAAAAACAAAAACAAAAATAAAAATAAAGATATTAAAAAAAAAAGGAATCCCTGACAGATAGCAATTGTCCATTCCCACAATCTAAGTATTTCCACTAATGCTGATTTTAAGCTACCAATGTTGAGAAGAGATGTGCAAAAGCAACTCTTATGAGTTGGTGTCTTCTGACCATCTAACACTGCTGAGCCTCTGCTTTTACTCCACTAGTGAATCTGTAGATTCTCTATATGATCTTGACTCCATGGTCGGCCTCTCTCTTTCTGCCTTTTTTCCATTCTCAGATACTTATTGTTTATTTCAAACACAGCACAAAGCATTGTGGATAGGGATAAGATAAGATAGGGATCCTTGCTTAAGGAGTTTATCATCTAGTGTGGACACAGATAAATCACCAGACTAGCCAGGGAGACCAGGTCAGAGTGTGTTCTCACTTGCTTAGTGTCACCAATTCTCACATTTGCTGGGGACTGGGCAGGACAATCAGGACTCTGGAACCAGCAAACCCGATCAGGGCTCATCCTAGTCCTTAGCCTAGACCCATTTTGTGACATCTCTCACTGTCTACCACTCGTGGCCATTTGGGTCACTTGCCACTGCACTAGGTCAAAGAGTCTAAGATCAAGCTCATCACGTCCTCTCCCCTTCTCCATCTCTGATTCTATTCCTTCTCACTTCTGCTACGGATCAGATGAGAGACCCTGGGAAAGCAAACAAGCTCCTCCATGGCTTGGTTTCTGCATCTCTAAAATGGGGATGATAATAGCTCTCATGTTAGAGTTTTCGAGTTTTGAGTGAATGATTAATGTAAGCAATTAGAACAGCGGCCGACAAATGGTAAGAACTCAGCAATGACTAACTATTAATAATATGATTAGCATTTGTTCATATTCATGGGAACATCATTATCCGAATTCCCAGTGCCAAAACCTGTGAATGATCATTGATTCCTCCGTCTCTTCCTTTCACCATTTCTGGGCACTGGCTGAATTGCTTGGATCGGTAGTTTATGGCTTCACATCTACGCCTTCTCTTCTTTCCTTTCACTTCCGGGCCCTTGTCACTCTCCACCTGTGCACCTGTTAGAGCTCGCCAACCACGTTTCCTGCTTCCTGTCCCCACATGTGGATTTATCCTTCCCACAGTCACCATATTAATTTCCCTGCAAAAAACTCCTTTCTTCACTCTGGGGGAAATAGGAAAGAGGGAGCCCCTGTACCAAGCCTCACTGCCCCATTTCCTGCCTTCCCCATGGGTCTTGCTGTCATGAAGATGTGTGGGCGATCAGGCAGCTGAGGGCACTTCTAGAACTGCAGAGCTGTGCACACCACCAGGTGTTGTTGGTAACTACTGTGAGGTGAATTCTGCATCCATGAGTTGCCTTACCTCACTTCCTTTAGCTGTTTCCCAGAAATAATCCTCCGCTCCGGCCAATCTGATGCCCTTCTGTGCCACTAATAGGCCTGAAGGTTCTCAGGCTTAGATAGGATTCCAGTTCAACAGGAAACTTCTCACGATCTCAATGGCTCACAGTCACGTCTTCCTCTAAACTCCCGCAGGGCTCTCCATTGGGGGATTGCATGTGGATCCATTCGGAGGTTCCCCTACAAATCCCCTTCAGGACTTGGAGGGGATTTGCCCTTGGCCAAGGTGACTTTTCTCTGCCTGGTGGCGTCCACATTCAGTAACTTGTTATAGAGGAGGAAGGGCCCAGGCCCAGGCACAGTCAGTTCCAGGGCCCACGTGGGACTGGCCCAGGTTACTCTGCCTCACAGTTCAACTCTTCCTCTCTCTGCCTCCTCACAGGGGTTTGCCTCTGAAAGCGTCCCCCCCCAAAATCTCTTGCATGTGAATTGCAGCATTTAATTTTTCTTTCTTTTTTTAGTCGTAGGTGGACACAATACTTCTATGGTATTATTTATTTATTTTTATGTGGTGCTGAGGATCCAACCTAGTGCCTCACCTGTGCTAGGTGAGTGCTCCACCACTGAGCCACAACCCCAGCCCTGAATTGCAGCATCT